GCAACCATTCTCTTCACTATAGCTGGGGGGGGGGGAAGAAGGCTGAGGTGTTACAGTAAGAAAAGCAATATTTTATGAAAGTTGCAAGCTGTATGCCTGAAACAGTCCCCCATAGAGTACTCTATGGACTGGTGTTTTCTGTTTATTGTACCTCACCGCACCTAGACCTGGTTTCCTGCTGGCTTTCTTCCTTCCCATGTCCTCACTTTATTTTACTTCAGTCACTACAACCATTTCCAGTATTTGTCCAAGTTTCCACTTAGTTCCTTCGCATCCGACCTCATACACTTCTGTTTGCCTTTCTCTTCTATGGTCTGGACTTGGGCCCCAGACAACAGCAAAGAGTCTCTGAGTTCATTCAGAGGTGACAGTGTAGGGTGTGCAGAGATGCTTTAAACGGGTTTTTAACATTGCAGGTTATTGCATTTTAACATTCAGGTTTGCTTCAATTGTTATAACCCACCCTGGGGCTTTAAGGGGAAGGGCGGGTAAAAAACTGGAACCAATAATTGTTTGTCTTCTGTATCTCAAACATTTGTATTGTTATATGCAATAAAATAACATAATTAAAATTCAGGGAGGAATGTTACTACCTTCACTCCCAATAACAACAACCATAATTCTTTTGAAGGATTGTCGATGAAACAACCCTAATTTGCATTTTGTGTATGTTTAATTTTAATTCAGTTGTATTGTCTTTATTTCTTCCTTTATTCTTGTATGTTATTGAAGTGAATATCCTTTCTTAAAAAGAAGTCATAACTGAAAATCAGCAGCAGTAGCATGCTTCCTCTCTCTACCCTTCCCTGCCACCCAGCTGCTCAGGCTTGAAGCCAGATTGAAATGGGGCTAGATTATCCATTTCATCCAATAATCTATGGAGCTGTATATGCATTCAACACACTGTTTCTGTCCCTGTTTGGTTCTTTTCTCAATCTTTCCTTCTTCTCTCACTTAGTTCCCTCCATTCTGTCTAAGTCATGTCAAACACCAGCCTAACTTAGACTCTTGAGCACATTTACCAAGATCTCTTGTATCCCTCTTGTAAATCTGTCTCTCTGGCTACTACATTTGCATTCCCTTTTGCTCCTTCAGGCTTTCACACCAGTTCATGTTCCCAGTGCCTCCTGTGTGACATCCATGAACTTGTGCCAGTTTTTGTTGGCTGATACTCAGTTTTAGGATGCAGTGCAAATAGCAGGAGTTTATAGTCTTTTCTCCCAAATATTTGGGAGAAGGAGCCAACTGCAGGCCATTTAGAAAGCTCGGTTTCTTGAACTGTTCTCTTCTAGTCTTTTGTTGGGGTAAGGTCAATAGCACAGAAATATTAACTCAGCAGGAAACAGCTAGGGATATCTGTTCATATATTGCTTCACTGGTATAATGAATACTTAGTTTCCTGAGGTTAAAGACGTACATCCTGGCATGCACTGCAGATACCACTTTGTTCCGTACTTGAAACATATGTGCAGAACAAGAGCAAAGCATATCCCAGATCTGAGGCAAAGTGCCCTCAGTAGGTCACTCCCCACCCCACAGCAGACTTGTCAGGTGGTAAGTTGCAGCAAAAGGCCAGCTGCAGCACCGGAGCACTGGGCTTATGTGGCTAAACCTGCTGGCACTGCCATTGAATCCCCCACAATGCAATGCTGTAATTATGCTCCTGTCAGCACCAGGAAGGAAAAGTATGCCCAAACTAAGCTAGTGTTAGCAGTGGGAGTGGAGCTTGTGGGGACCTCAGCATATGCCCAAGAATGGTGCTTGCTGGTGCTGGCCATGAGCACATGAAACGTGTGATAGGAATTAAGACCCTGGGTGAAGAAGAAGGATAAGGTTATTTGAGGCTGCCCATTAAGAGAATCTGCATCACTCAGGGTACACAGGAAGCAAAAAAGGCTAATGCTATTCTAGGCTGCATCAACGTAAGTATAGTGTCCCAATCAGGGGAGGTGATAGTAGTGCTCTGTTCTGCCTTGGTCAGACCACACCTAGAGTACTGTGTCCAGTTCTGGGTGCCACAATTTAAGAAGAGTATTGACAAACTGGAACATGTGTACAGGAGGGTGGCTAAGATGACCAGGGGTCTGGAAACCAAGCCTTATGAGGAACGGTTGAGGGCGTTGGGTATGTTTATCCTGGAGAAGAGACCATCTTCAAATATCTGATGGGCTGTCCCCTGCCTTGCTGCATATAGCCTCTCCTGCTTCTAGTTAACAGTTTCCAAGTTGGTGTTGCTCTTGGAAGTTCTTACGCAAGATCTACCAAATTCTGGAAATAACTAGAATCTGCTTGTGAATTTATGGGTTTACTCTGAATTGGACTTGGGACACAAATGAAATAAATAATGTTAGAAAAGGGGCAGATGACTGCTGGGAAAATGAAAGAACAAAGCTCTGTCCCTGTATGCATGTATGTACATATTCATGTATTTATTTCATGGATTTATATCCAGCACTTCAGTAAGTTCCCAGGGAATCCTGCAAAGAATCAAAAATACTTATCATGATATAACCCTTGCTCTAAGAAACCTCAGCTTATGTATAGCCAAAAATGTGGCATCTGGAATTAAGAACCTCTTCTTTCATTCAGATTACAAATTGAAAACAATTCAGACTCAAACTGAGGATTACGGTGGTTTTGGCTCTGTAGCTACTAAAGGGGCCATGAATTTCCTAACTTTTATAGGATGTACGGGAGATAGGTTTGAACTTTTTATGCTTGCCTCTTTTAAAATTCTATAATCATACGGCTGTTCAATTCTCCTGGGTAAACTGAGACCCAAGTAGAATTTAGTTGGTTGTAAAATATATATTTTGTGTTCTCCATCATATATATCCCTGGTGAATTTATTCATTCTCTAGCAGTCTTTTTTATAGCAAACTACAGATGTGTATTACTTAAACAGATTGTCCCATCTTCTGAGCAGAGTCTTATTGAGTAGACGGATGCTTTGATAATATGAAGATTTCTTGTATTTTCAGAAACTAGTTATCTTATTCTCACCTCTTATTCAAAAATAGCACTGAAATAATGATAGAATCTTTAAAGTCTTTCAACTACAAGTTTTTCATCCACTTGGTTTTTACTTGCCTCATTTGGTAACATATAAATAGCCTTGGAGATAGTAATATAAAGCTCCAAATCTTTTGGATTATTTAATATTTGTGTCTTAATAATTTAATTATATGAAATAAAATAACTTAATCCAGAGCCACATGCATGCTTCTTTACATCATTGGAGCTTCTGCATGAGTGGAGCTCTGTTCATTTAAATCAGGGGTTTGGCCGTGGCCAATCTTCACCTAATAAGGGGTCCAATTTCGCCTGCTAGGCCATTTCCCCTAAAGCATCACCCATCAATCAGATGGAATCACTGGGTGATAGATGAAAACTGGTCCATTGCTAGGTTACTTCACAGAAGCAACAAGAATAAAGCTGTTCCTCTGTTAAGCAACCATTTTGGTCTGACTTCTTCTATAACCTGACAAGGGGCCAGTTTTCATCTATGTTTGGACACTAAGTGCCATTTTGATTCAAGATGGCAGACTGAAATGTTCTAAACTGATTTAGACAACTCTGAAGATACTGTCACCCAGCTTGGCATGATGGTTCCTGAGGTGGAGGAGTGGGTTAATCCCTTGTGCACTCTATTTTACCAGAGTGAATTTAATAGCCAAGATTTATGGTTTGGCTATCATTAAGCATCATGCAATTATCGCCATCGGCGAGCTGCCAACAGAAGATGTTCAGTCTGCCATGTTCCTCCTCTGTAAATCCACCATCAGACACCATTTTGAATCAAGGTGGTGGGCCAAATTATTCCAAACTGCACCACTTAAGATATCATTGCTCAAATTGGCATGGCAGTTCCCAAGTAGTAGATTTTGGTCTAGGCTGGGACACTATCAGACTTCGTTTTGACTCAAGATGGTGAACTGAGCCACCTGCAATGATTTGAACACCTTTGAAGATGATATCGTTCCCCAATGTGGCATGATGGTTCCTGAGATCATAGAGTGAGTTTGAGCCTACGTTCGAATACCATCAGATGTCATTTTGAATCAATATGGCAGGCTGAACCTTTCATAACAGCACTGATTTTAACCATTATTTGGCAGGAAGATAATAAGACTATGCACTAGATTTGGCCAAAGTCCTAATTCCAAACCTAATTTGGCCAATTCAAGCCGATCTCAGCTTTGACCAAGTTGGGTCAAGAGAGCCCTGTACTGCCCCAGGTCGGGTTGCCCCAAATTAACCAGGACCATTTTGCATAACAAAAAATGGATTCTTTTTCAGCCATAAAATATATATATCTGCTAAAATGTTCCCTTATCCATTTAAATTTACCTCACTTGCCCTCAGTGATAAAATCACATAGCCAGACATGATTGGCTGCATAGTGTTGTGATGTCATGCTGCGATTCCTGACAGTTATTCTCATGTGACTACTTCAAAATTGAGAAAGAAAATGAAACCATAGTATTGCTGTTTCAAAACTTTAAAAATTAATAAATTTATCAGGTGATATTTACACTCCACTGGAACAGCTATTCTTGCCTTTAAAATCGATACTGGCAAATATTCAGTGCAGCTCCAGTTATAACATTTTTGGAAATCAAATATAAACACACTATACTTCCCTCTTAATTCTTCAACATGCTTTTGTGCTTTTTGCAGTCCATCAGGTTTTCTCTTCAATCCAGTAACCCCTGAAACAGATCCACTTTTTCATATTGTAGCTGGGATGTATATTTTAAATACAGCAAAGCAGTTTTCCGGGGCATATCCTCCAGACCCCTGTTTGTCAGCATTGTTCTTCTCATCAACCTTATCTATCTTCCACATGTACATACTAAAGTGGAATCTCTTTACAAGAAAGCTGTCGGTATATGTTGTGTCCTTGTTGTGCCCTTTTCATATAACCTTCTTCCCCCACAGGAGTACATTTTTTAAAAAAGTTCACCATTTTAGGTAATTCACAAATGCTGAGGACTCACAGTTTTTACACGTACTGTACAAGCCTTGATTGTAGCCTTGTCCAAAGGAAGGAACTGCAACAATAAAAACATCTGTGTAAGGCTTCACCTCTTCAAAATCTCAGAGATCTACTCCTACAACAGGTTGTCAACACAATAATTCTCTGTAAAGGATTTGTGTCATATGCCAGGAAAATTGAGAGCAGAAGTGACAATGACACATGGCCCCTCAACTTTAGCTTTTATGAAAAATGGGTTTCTTTAAGTCAAGGTTAAGGGACAGGGGGTTCCAAACCCAGACCCTGGTTCAATCACTACAATGGTCAGAGATCTTCTAGATTCCCCTGTACCTTAATAGGGGGACCACTACTAACAGAAATGGAACTTCTTTCTGCGACTCCCTCCACCTTTCTTCACCACCTGTTTGCTCACCCACCACCCATCTCCTTTCTAAAAAGGAAGCCAATGACTTGAGGGAGGTTAGGTGATCCTGGGTGACCAGGCCAGCAGGTCACAGCTCTTTCTGAAGAGATGAGAGCCTGGGAGGGTGCTGCTGGTATTTGCAGGGTGCAAGATTGGCCCTACCAATAGGCAAAGTGAGGCAGCTGCCTCAGGCAAAAGATTTTCATTGACACAAAAAGCCCACAAACTGTTAGCTATTTATTATGGTATTTTTTTACAGAATTGCGATACAGAGCAAAATGGAAAAGACACTTGCACGGAGGAGCAACAGGCTCCTCTAAGTTGGTGCCATGGGAGAGGTAGATGCAGGCCTCACCTCAGTTCTCTCACACAACCTGCTATATTAAGGGGATTCCCTGAGGGCATTTTGCCCCGCGCCCCAAGCTTTCAAAAACCTGCCCAGATTTCCCTGCTGTGAACAATGAGGTGAGAAGTTAGGTGATAATTGTGTACTGGTAGTATGAGGAACAGATGACTGGTGAAATGCCACTAGCTTCTCCTGCAGTGGCCAAGAACCTCAGTGGAAATTTAAAACAAATATAGCAGACGGAAGAGTGGCAATTCCACCCTTGCATAGTGTGACATCATGATGCTCCACTTCTGAAAACAGTATCTCTGGCCAGGGGCAACAGTTTTTCTTTCATAGTTTATTTGTGGTTCTGAAAGGCAGGCAAAACCAGCCCAACATATTTTGGAGAGGGTGCTTTTTTTAAAAACAACAACAACAAAACACTCCTATATTTATGACATTTAATTCAAAGTCCACATGTGAACATTTCTGGCCAAATCACTGTTTCTATGCCAGCAAGTGTAACAGGAGATTCTGCACTGATGACCTAGCAAGGTTAGAAAGTAAGGTTCCCTGTATTTACACCAGGGAGCTTCATACTGCAACAGGTATGAGGTACCCTCAAGAGTCAAGTTGTTTGCTCTGAAGCAGCTTTCTGTTGCTGCTGCTCTTGTTCTTGCTGTTCCTGCAGTTTCCTCTCTTTCTCCCACGGGCCTTTCTTTTTTTAGTGGCTCCTTCTCTTTGGCTGCTGCACTGTGTTCAATTGGTGCTGTTGTTCTAGACTGTTCTTTTACAATAAGGCAGTCCCTCAGTTAAGCAGCCATTTTGGCCCACCTCAATTTAACGCAGCGCCACCTGTGGTTGAAATAGCAGTACAATAGCAGTACAACTCTAGGTTACACCCTGTCAGGTCTGAAGCTGCTTCTTAAATCTCTTTATCCTGATGGATTCACAACGTAATGGAAAGTCCAAATGTGAAGGAATCGTGAGGTAGCAAACCTTTTAGAAAGACCACTGTAGCACAAAAACAAGCGTCTCCCTTCTAACTTCTATCGGACACTGTTTCTTTTATCCTTCACTTTGTCTTGCACTCTTGTGGGTTTTAAAATCTCATTTTCCATTACATGTGATTTTGACAGCAGGCTTTGTGTAGATATCTTGCTGAGGTCACTTATGGAGCCAATTACATGGAAATTGCTCCCAGTTTGGATGTTTGTTTGGTATTCAGTTGATGTTTTGTCTGTTAATTCCGGAGAGGTTTCCTTCTTAGGCGTGTTAAAGGCATCTGGAGGTGAAGAAAGTCAAGGTGATATTTTTTCTCCCTCCACCATAGAAATGTGAAATAAACTGAAGTGCCAGGTCAACAAAATCCAAATATACCAGAAGACAGAGACAGGAAACTGTAACGAAACAATAAAAACTCACCCTTCGATTTTGAAACATCAACGGCCTTGTAATGAGGAAATGTATGACAGGGAACAGGAGTTTATAAATAGAAGAATTGTGGGAAATGTCACATTAAAAATGGGCTTGACATTCTTACGAGATGTATGTTTTGCTTAAAATCCTAGGTGTGCAGAAGTCTGTGCCCCAAAATGACTTCAGCAAGGCCCAGAATTCACTCATCCCAAGAGACTCCATCTGACAAGGTTTGCTCTGCATGGCAGAGGGTGAGTCACAGACTACGGTTCTTTTGTGCCATATTCCTGCCTGTGCAGGGGGTATTCCTTAGGTATTGTATACATTTAAGATGGCTGGCTACCAGCGACTTTTCTCATTTGGAGCAACAAGTAGCTGTAGGAGCAGAAATGTTTGAGGTGATGCCTATGGCCAGTTAGTGCCAGGGACAAGGCAGATCATTAAGCTTGAGCTGCTTTCTCCTCCTCCTCCTCCTCCTTTGTATATGTCTCAAGGAGATGTACAAAATATAATAAAGAAAAAACAGCACAGAAAATGAATGATTTTTAAAATTAAATATATATATATACAAACCAGACACTCGGGGCAGAGACCTATGTGTTCAGTGGGAACAAAAACTTATTCAATTGTTTCCAGGAAGTGCAGGCAGTGGGTGCCTGTTGTATCTCAATTTTTTCAGCCAGCCACAGCTTGCTGCAAAAGAGGGAACTCCACAGAAATTCAAAATGGCGTACCTGTATCTGTGTGGTGTTTTGGCGCTTAAGCTGACCTCACAAGCAATTAGACTTCCTAATAAAGCATAATATTTTCGGCAAGAAAACAGCCTTCCACTGTGTCAGACCTTCTGATCTATCTAGCTCAGTATTGTCTACACTGACTGGCAGTCACTTTCCGGGATTTTATACTGGAGGGAGATGCCAGGGATTGAAGGCAGATACTATACTGCTGAGCTATGGCTCTTCTTATAATTTGTTTTAATTTCTCTCCCCCCACCCTTTTAAGGCATGTTGCCTTGAAATACATCTTTATTAATATAAGGGACACCAGCAAGTAATGATCGAATCCTTAAATCACTGACTGTGCCAAATGAAGTTGCTGAAGTTTGTAATTCCTCAATTCAGTATGGAAATTTGTTCAGCTTGTCATGCTCAGCAGTGTTACAAATTGACTTCCATTTGGAATCATTTTCTGGCTCAGAATGTTGATGCAGTTCTGCACATGCACACAGTTCTGTTTGCAGCCACAGCCTAAACAGTATGGGAGCTCTGACCTAACGTAAAAGTTAGGTTTCCTGAAATTTTGCAGCCCTGAGCTGGATTGGAGGACCGTATTACTAATTTCTGTAAACAAGGAGATGAGGTCATTTTAAGTATTTTTGCGTGTTGTGTACTTAAATGTCTTGTTTAGTTTGACCTTTACTTTTCTGACAACACCTGCATACTTTCATGTTCTGCATGAAGTCGTTTCTGGCACTCGATACTTTGTGAAACCTAAGCAAGGTAGGAGGAACCTTGCTAGAGTGTGATTTTTCATTTTTAGCACTTTCCATTGCTTCAGTGTGCATGTTTCTCATGCTTAATATTCTCAGTCTTTCCTCAACTAAATTCTTAGTTGTTTCCTGCCTTTTCTTGCTAGGTTTCCCTGATTTGGACTAATTTACAAATGCATGCGTATCTTTTTGGTGCCAAGTGTATTGTCTGCTTTCCTTTGGAGCACCTCAGTGAGGCCGAGAGGAAAATATTTTTTACTGGGGAACCTGGGACCTCCATACACACTGCCTAGGCCTGTGCCCTGAGGGGGGAACTTTGGTGCTGATAACAGGGCAGTTTGACTTCGTCCCTGGAGACACACTCCATTGTCTTTTGAGTCAGACAAATGCCAACAACTGGCACTTTTCTCCTGGCATGCAGCTTGGAATGACTGAAACGAAGCCCTGACTTTTCAGTGTGTCTTCCCCCACCCTTTTTGTGCAAGGGGTCATTGAGTAGACTGAGAGTGGATAGGCAGAGGAAAGTCAGGGATATATGCCCCATGTCTACTTCCCTTTATTCAATTCTGTATTGCTCACTTCTTCAATTGGATACAGATGTCAAGAAATATTTCTGAAGTGAAAACATATGCTGCTGGAGTGGGGTGGGGGCACATTTGCTAGTTAATTACTGTCAGCTCTGGAAATCTGGAGGCTGTTGGGGTGACTCCTGCATGAAGAACAGTCACACATGCATGTGTGAGTGTGTGCTCATGCAGGCACATGCATTCATATGTACACCTGGAATATACCACATTCAGCCAGCCACCTGGTAGTTATGGCTGCAAACTCTCCTGTTATGATGTAATAATACACCAGAATAGGTGGCTTTGAGGCAATTTACTGGTCTACCCAAACTTGTCTTACGTTCTTCTCAAAAGTTGCAGCTTAGTGTGGCAGAGGGAATATTTTTTAAAAACTTTGCAGATAAAGGCACATGAAGATGACAGAAAAAAGGCTTCAAACTCATGACCCTAGCTTGGTGGGTGATGATGGTGGAGAGAAGTGTAACACTGTGATTAACCCACTGATCTCAACTTTGGTCTGTAGAGCAAGCCTTCCAGTTTGCACATTTAATAAAATATGATAATAATAATAATAATAATAATAATAATAATAATAATAATACGTCAGGATACACAAATAGAAGACATTGGCATTTAGTGTTACATTGATTGGGCTCCCCCTCATCAGGGAACATTTGTCAGGAACTTCTGTTCTGAGCTTGGTGTGCTACCACCAGCACCCTACAAAAGTAAATCACCCAGGCAATCACTTCAACACAGGAACCTAGCCAGGCTTATATTTTAACACTTGCTGGATCTAGGGATTAGAAGGGTCTCACATATAGCCTACTTCCTCCCCTTCAAACTCATAGCAGTATAGGAAGAGTATGCTGTGTATCTGAGGAATATAGGGGAAGGATTTGTACAAAGAGGTATGGAGTTCTCCATCACAACCTTTTCTCTCATCTATGAACTTTCTGGAGATAATAAATCAGAGAGTATCCTCAGGAGTTCAGAATCTTTGGAAGAGTCTTTTCCATTGCACATTTGTTTCACAAAACTGTGGCTGGCCTTTGCGCCTGGTCAGCCCACACACTTGTGCACATTAGCTTCTGTGTATATTCAGGTGTCAGGTGCAGAAGATAGCTACTGTGCAACCTTGCAGACAGCTGCTATTTACTGTAGCACAAGGTTTTGGTTTGGGAAAAGATTGGAGCAATTGGGTGGGCAGGGAAAAAGTTTTTAACCTTACGTTAAAACTGGTTTGGTTTAAAAAGAAAGACAAAAAAAGTATCCAGAGGGGTAACCAAAGAGTTTGGGGGCACTTTAAATACTAACACATTTAGTATGGCATAAGCTTTTATGGGCTACAGTGCACTTCAACAGGTTCATGAAATGTTATTTTGAATTGCAGGTACATACATGGTCATGGGATGGGTTGGGGAGGACTGTATACAGAGGTCAGAAGGGACTGAAATGCAGAAAAGTACAGTCACTGATATTTACTTTATTAACAACGACAATTCTCTCTCTCTCTCTCTCTCTCTCTCTCTCTCTCTCTCACACA